CGATTATTAGTTTTGGACTTTAAGATAAAGGGGCATAAAATAAAAAATAAAGTAAAACGTTTTTCGAGGATTAGATGGGGGCATTTAAAGAATATTAACAAAAATATTTTTGGAAATAAGATTTTAGATCTTAAGATTTTGTCTGTGCATGAGGATGCTAATATTATGTGGGAGAAAGTGGCTAGTGATATTAAGAATATTGCAAAAGATGTCCTTGGAGTATCAAAGGGAAAAGCTCCCAATAGTAAAAATAGTTGGTGGTGGAATCCTAATGTGCAAGAAAAAATTAAAAATAAGAAGCTTTGTTATAAAAATTGGTTTATTTTTAAAAATTCTGATAATTGGGAAATATATAAAGTGGCTCGTAAGGATGCTAAGAAAGCAATATGCGATGCAAAGGCATTAGCTTTTAGTGATTTATATAATAGATTAGATACTAAAGAGGGAGAAATATATATGTATAAGTTAGCCAAACAAAGAGATATGAGTAGTAAGGATTTAGTTCAAGTGAAGTGTATTAAAGATGAAGATCAAAAAATACTTTTCTTAGAAGATGATATTCAACAAAGATGGATGAGATATTTTGTTAAACTTTTTAATGAAGATTGTGATAATAAGATTGACTATAGTGACCTTAGCACCCTAAATGAAAATAAAGATTTCTGTTTTTATCGGCGTATTAGTAAAACTGAAGTTAGAGAGGCTTTAAATAGAATGAAGGGTGGAAAAGCTGTTGGACCTGATGATATTCCAATAGAGGTGTGGAAATGCTTAGGAGATGAAGGAATTTCTTGGCTTACTAAACTTTTTAATACTATTTTGAAGACTAAAAAGATGCCAGATGAGTGGAGAATGAGTGTGTTAATTCCTATTTTTAAGAATAAAGGTGATGTTCAAGATTGTGCGAATTATAGAGGTATTAAGTTAATGTGTCATACTTTAAAACTATGGGAGCGAGTTTTGGAGCATAGGTTGCGGCGTGATACTAATGTTTCTCAAAATCAATTTGGATTCATGCCGGGTAGGTCGACTATGGAAGCCATACATTTATTAAGAGGTTTGATGGAGAAATATAGAGAAAATAAGGAGGATCTACATATGATATTTATTGATTTAGAAAAAGCATATGATAAAGTTCTAAGAGAAGTGCTATGGAGAGTTCTTGAAAAGAAAGGAGTTAATAATGCTTATATTCAAATCATTAAAGATATGTATGCAGGAGCTATTACTTGTGTTCAAACACAAGGTGGATTGACCAAGTATTTTCCTATTTCGGTTGGGTTACATCAAGGATCAGCCTTAAGCCCATATCTTTTTGCTTTAGTCATGGATGTTCTCACTAGACATTTGCAAGAGGATGTACCTTGGTGTATGCTTTTTGCTGATGATATTCTTCTTGTTGATAAGACTAGAGAGGGAGTTGAAGGTAAACTTGAATTATGGAGGTCAACCTTATAGTCTAAAGGTTTTCGCTTGAGTAGATCTAAAATGGAATATATGGAGTGTAATTTTAGTAGTAATAGACCTAGTGAGGGGATTGTGACTTTGGGCGATCAAGTCATTAATAAGAGTACACGTTTTAGATATCTTGGATCTATTGTTCAAAGTGATGGTGAAATAGATGGGGATATTATCAGCAGAATTCAAGTTGGATGGTTGAAGTAGAGGAATGCATCGGGCTTGTTATGTGATAGAAATATACCCCTCAAACTTAAGGGAAAATTCTATAAGATGGTAGTGAGGTCTGCAATGCTTTATGGTGCCGATTAGCCATTAAAAGAGAAGCATAATACTAAGTTAAGTGTGGCAGAGATGAGGATTCTCATGTGGATGAGTGGCTTTACCCTTAAAGATAGGATACAAATTAGCATATACATGAAAAGGTTGGAGTAGCTCCAGTAGAAGATAAGATTAGAGAGAGTCGCCTTAGATGGTTTGGTCACATAAAAAGGCGGCCTTCCGATGACCCGGTTAGGAGAGTAGAGGTATTAGATTTGACTTGTGTTAAGAAAGGTAGGGGTATACCTAAAAAGAATTGGTTAGAAAATATTAGGAATGACCTTTCTTTATTAGATTTAAACGAGAATTTGATTTTTAATAGGACACAATGGAGAAAAAGGATTCATGTAGCCGACCCCATGTAGTGGGATAAAGGCTTGCTGTTGTTGTTGTTGTTGCATATTTTTAAGGATGTCCTTAATGTATTTTGATTGACTAAGAAAAATTTCATCATCATTCCGCCGTATACTAAATCAAGAAATTAGTTCAATTCTCCTATCATACTCATTTCAAACTCCTTGCTCATTATTTTAAAAAATTCATCACATAACTTTTAATCAGAAGATTCAAACAAAATATCATTAATATATCTTAATAATGAGTAGTTCTTCTCCTAATTTTTTAAGAAAAAAAATAGTGTCTACGCTCTTCATAACAAATGTTCTATCAAGTAGGAATGTGCTTAGCCATTTCATATCATGCTCTAAGTGCTTATTTAAGTCCATATAATATTTTTTTAATTTGAAAATATGATTGGGAAATTGTGATTTTTCAAAGCCTGAAGATTGTTCAATATACACATTTTCTTCTATTACCCAATTCAAAAAGACACTTTTAACATCCATTTGATATAATTTGAATTCCTTAAAGCAAGAAGAAGCTAGCACCCTTATGACTTCTAGTCTAACTACAGGGGTAAAAGTCTCTTCAAAGTCAATCACTTCTATCAAGTTATACCCTTTAGCCACTAATCATACTTTATTTCTCCCCACTACACCAGAATCATTTATTTTATTTTTCACAATACATTTAGTTTTAACAACACTCTAGTTCTTAGGTCTTTCAACAAGCTCCCAAACATCATTTCTCACAAATTAATTTAATTCTTATTGCATAACTAGGATCCATAATTCATCAGATAATGCTTGATTTATATTTGTGGGTTCAATCATTAAAATAAAGGCAGAGTAATTCACTTATTTTCTAAGTTCATGCTTAGTTCTAATACCTTCAGATGGGTCTCCTGAGATTAGCTCTTTAGGATGACTTGAAGAATATCTTCATTCTCTAAGAAGTAAATTTTCAACTTTTACTTTCTTCTAAATTTATGGATTCTACTCCTTGGGTGACTTCAACTACTTCTTCTTCTACCCAAGACCCTTCAGAATTATCAGATTCATCAAAAACTATATGAGTGGACTTCTCTACCACCAGTATTCTTTTATTAAAAACTTTAAAGGATTTTTCAATATTTGAGTATCCTAGGAAAACTCTTTGATCAGATTTTGGGTCAAATTTCGTAGCAGAGATTGCTCATTGTTTAGAATTAATATTTTACATTCAAAGACATGAACGTGAGAGAGGTTGGATGTCCTACCCTTAAGAATTTCATAAGGTGTTTTGTTCGGCAAGGATCTAACATTAACCCAATTCAGAACATAACATGCTGTATTTACCACTTCTGCCCAAGAATATTTAGAAAGTGAATATTCATCTAATATAGCTCTATCGGCTTCTACCAAGTTCTTGTTCTTTTTTTTAGCTACCCAATTCAGCTAAAGGGGTTTAGGCTAAAAAGTTATGATCTTATCCTTGCTCCTTACAATAAGTTTTAAATTTCTCATTCTCAAATTCTCCACCATGGTCACTGTGAATTGTCAGAATTTCAGATCCTAGCTTTCTCTAAATCCAAGTGAAGAATATCCTAAATTTCTCAAATGATTCACTTTTATGAGTCAAGAATTTAACCCAAGTAAACCTCGATTAATCATCAAAAATCATATACCCAAAGACTTTTCCTCCTAGGCTTGCAGTGCTAATGGATCCAAAGAGATCCATGTGAATGACTTCTAAAGATTTGCAATAGGAGTTCATCGGAAGGCAGCCACGAGACCAACTAGCGTGTAAAGGATAAGAGGAATTCATGAGAAACTTGAGGATTCAAGCTAAGGGGTTGTTTCGTAGCACCCAGGATTTCATTTAAGTAGAATTTCGTAAATCCTCTAAATCCATATTTATGAAATCCGGGGGGGGGAGATCCTGAAAACTATTTGGTAACATTTATGATAAATCATGTGTGATTGTTTAGCTATTCAATTTAGGATTTAAAACAGTTAAGAGATTTGACATGCATTTCTTGGATAATTACAACAATATAAGTTCAAATAAAATACAACATATTTTCGATGAAAATACAACAATAATATAGATTTAAGATTTGTTTACTCATTTAAAATAATATTCTATTTAATTAATATTAATAATATTTAAAATTATCTAAATTGGTAAGAAAATAATTGTGAAATAGTTGTAAAACCTCAATTCCCCCAAAATAGACTATTTAAATCATACAAAATCTAATCAACAAATGAATTATTTATTAATTAATAATTTATTAAGTTAATTAACTCACACTTCTTCGGCCAAATCCCGTAAATCCGCCGAATCAGAGGATTTCGGAAATACGGGATTTACCACGAAAAGGGATAACTTTCCTTCTACAGCGGCTTTTATTTTCCATGAGATTTGATTTTGCATTTTAGGCCGTTTGGCTGAATTTCACTCAAATCCACCTCAAATCTGGCATAAATCCTGCTAACAAACAGCCCCTAAATCTATCCAACGCCCAGATTTACTAAACCCGAGATTTAAGGCACCACGAGGAAGAAACGGGATTTAAGACACTGTAGGATTTAAAATTGTCGTTCATCTTGTTTGGCAGGATTCAGCTTACATCCTGCTTAAAACCTGCTCAAATCCCCCCATTAACGCGTGAATAACCAATGGATAAAACTAAAATACAGTCTGTTAATGTTTATTTTGACTCTTTAAAATGGAAAAATTAGCTCATATTTTCTTTTCTATGCTGTCATCAGAATTCCAAGAATAACTAATTCAGGCCGCATTTATTTAGTTCTATCACTCATTCAGCATAAACCAATCCCATAGAAATAGGAAAACTTACAGCGACAAAAACAACTAATGAAAGAGAGATTGCTCACCACATCACCACGAGATATTCCCATATGCGCAAGGGCGGACGCCAGGCGTAGACACCTCTCTCGAGTTTCCTTCCAAGTGTAGCGCACATGGCCGTGAATGACGGAGACACGCTCACCGTACACAGCAGCGGCGCGTTCGAGAAAGCTCAGTGGACTGAGTGGAACGTAGTTGGCCGAGCACCGGACGGAGCCCTCCATCGCCCACGATCGTGAAGCAGAGCTGTATTTCCCCCAAAAAAAAAACAAAGCAGAGCTGTATTCCAACCGAAAAAGTCTGCGCTATGATGAGATTAGGACAGTAACGAGACCAAATAACAATAAATTAATATAGTGGAATAAAATCATACATACCATTTAATATTATTTTATTTACATATTTAACACATAAAATTTTAATATTATATAAATATCACCTATAGTTTATTTTCATATCAAATATGAGCGGTAGAAATGAAATATATGAATGCTAGGAAAGAAATATAAGTGATATATTTGATATTAAAATAATATAGGGTGGTATGCATCATGCATGTAATATTAAAGTTTTAGGTGTTAGATATGTAAATATGATGTTATAAAGTAGTATGTATGTAAATTTCCCAATAAATAATATAAAATATTCTTTTTATAATTTATGTTTATATTATAATATAGAAGATATTTGATAAGATTTAGAGCAGGATGAGATAAATTTCAAATTATAAAATAATATTTAATGTTAGAAAATTGAAGAAATTTAATAAGATTTAAAATTTATTTGGAATAGTCGTAATTTTTTATAAAAATGATTATAAAATTATTGTGAGAAAAATATTTTTTCTGAAAATTGCTATAAATAAAAAGCTTGTGACTGCAAAATTTTCTTTTAAAGCAATTAAAATAGCAACAAAATAGAACCTATAGTTGTAGTTTAAAAAATAAAATAGTAAGAAAATTGCCCTAAAATAAAACCTTCAATGATATATTTGATAGGAGCAAGATATAATTTCTAAGCCTTCAATTAGTCTCATTAATCTAAGAGTATACATTTAAGTAGACCTTTCCACCTTCCTAGCATTTAGGTGCAACATATTTTAAATGCAAGTATGTTAAAAATATTATTGTTTGTTTGATGAAAAAGAGATATAGTGCAAAATTCCTTGTGTTTTTTTTTTCACTCTTTAGTTTATTTTTTATGAATTATAAACTCGATTAGTTTTGATCGAATTTATTTTTTATTAATCATAAACTCGACCTAATTATTCAATGATTCATTTAATATAAATTTATGCAGAAGTTGAATGGCTTATTCTTACTGCTGATGATAAAATGCTAAAACTAGAAGCATCAAATTACATAAAATAAAAGGAAACTCTAAGATTTAGGTTTCGTTTGGGATAATTTTCTAATTGCTTCTTAAAGTAATTTTTTAGTACATTTTAATACAAAAATTAATTTTTTTTTGCTAAAAGCTGTTTGAGAAGTAGGAAGAAAGACATCTCAAACGAAGTCTTAATAGAGAAGAGTTATAAATAATTTTTATAATAATAGTATAAATATAAATCAGGAAAAATTTTTTATTAAGTGATATAAATTAAACAACTCATAAAACTAAACCCTAAAGTTCAAATAAATAAATTATCCTGTAAGGATGTTTCAAAAAAAAAATTGCCATAGAACTTTAAAGTTCTTGTATTTGAAACCCTCGACTTTAGAGTTAAGAGTTGAATACATAAACGTATGATGCAATAATTTTTAATTGTTATTGATCTTTGTTTGGCAAATTTTAAATGTTTTACAATATGTCACCCAATTTATTAAAGCTCTATTTATTCCATTTCACCATTATATTTAAAAGCAAAATGAGCTCTAGTGATGGTGGGAGTAGATTAGACGAAGGTTTAAAAGAGTCATGTGTAGAAACTGACAAGCCATTATGGAATCATGCTACAAAGTTAGGAAAAATTTTTGAAGGATGAGAAAATATGTCATTCAAATGCAATTATTATAGTGACACCTATAAAAGATCATATTCTAGGGTGAAAACACATATACTTAAGATTGGTAGTTGTGGAATTAAAATGTGTCTTAAGATTATTATTTCACAGTTGATAGAATTGAATAGACAGGTTGATGAAGGCTAAATTTAAGATTAAAAGTGCATTTCGTAAAAGGATATATTTGTCATCTACCCATGGTTCATCGTACACTTCATACTCATTCATTAGAGTTGATCATGCTAGTTCAATTATGAGTGAAGGATATGAATTTAAAAAAAAAAGGAAAAGACATTGTCAGTAGTTCTTTAGAAAAGACTTTTTAACATATAGATGTGAGAGCAACTTAATGGTGAAATTGCAAAAATATTTTTTTTCAGTGAGACTTCTTGTCACCCTTGCAATGAATCTTTATTATAGAATGCATTCACTTTTGCATATAATAACAACCTTGCAGGTTATGTTCTACATGAATACAATGCAATAAGATCAAAATTATTGGAGATGGAAATAACAAATATTAAGACATTCCATGAACCAATGAAAGGAGTGTGAAAAGAAAAAGGTGTTAGTTGATGTTTGATGGTTAGACTGATCCTCAATGAAGATCACTCATCAATTTCATGGTTATTACAGAGAATTATCCAATGTTTATTAAAATTGTAAATTATGAAGGAGAATACAAGAATAAATATTTTATTTCCAATTTGATTAAAGAGTTAATAGTGATGATTGAGCCTTCAAATATTGTGTAAGTTATTATAGATAATGTACTAGTGTGTAGAAGTACAGGATTATTGGTGGAATAAACTTATCATTATATATTATAGACTATGTACTGTACACACTTTAAATATTTCTCTAAAAAATATTTATGCAGACAAAAATATAGAGGCTAATGAAATCATCTATGTTTAATGTCATTCGATAGCAGTGGTTGCAAATGATATTATTCTTATAAAAAATTTCATTATGAACCACTCATTGAGACTTTCAATCTTTAATGATTTCTTATATTTGAGAATGTTAGCTATTATATAAACTCATTTTACCTTTAGAATAATTATGTTGAGAACGTTCAAACAAATAAAAAAATGTTATTCAACCTATGGTGATTAGTGAGAAGTTGTCTTGCTATCGAGAATATGACATTGGAAAGGCAAGATATGTGAAAGAAAATGTCGTAGATGATTTATTGTGGGATGATACATATTATATTTTGTCTTTCACTAATCATATTTATGATATGTTGAGAGTGGTTGATACGGATAAATTATATCTTCATTTGATTTATGAGATGTGGGACTCCATAAAGTGAGAAAAATTATATACATACATGAAAGAAAGACACATAATGAAGACTCAAAGTTTTATAGCATTGTCTTTACCATTCTTGAGGATAGGTGGATTAAAAACAACACACATCTTCATTGTTTGGCTCATTCATTAAATCCAAGATAAATTTGAATATATCTTCTAAATTAGTTTTTAATTTCTTGGATAATGAATAAATAATTTTATATTATGTATATTATTTGAAGGTATTCAAGTAAAGAATGACTTTAAGAAGACCCTCAACCATCTCTCCATAAAAATATTTAAAAGTTTCAAATATGAGAAAGATATTTTCGAAATGATATTTCTCAAATGAGGAGGAGAGAAGAACGATTAATATAGAACTTGTAAAGTTTTTTTTTGTATATTTAGAGGATTTTGGTGATCAAGAATCTTTATTTGATAGATGAAGGATGTATCTAAAAATGTGATGGTTGATTCATGGAGCTTCAACACCGCTTCTTTAAATAATAACAATCAAACTTCTTGGTCAAAATTCATCTTCCTCTTGTTGTGAGAGAAATTGGAGCACATACATATTTATTGAACCGATAAAGAGAAACAAAATAACTCCACAATGAGCTAAATATTTAGTTTATGTGCATACAAATATTCTTCTTCTATCAAGGAAGTTATATGGTAGGTGATAACATGATGTGAGATGTTGCTGGAGATAGGTTCGAGTCCCTTGATGATATGGTTATATTGGAGGTTGTAAATCTTTCTGTTGATGAACTAGAGTTGGAAGCAATAATATTCAATGATGATGATATTGAAGGTCAAAGAAAAACTTTTGAAGCTAATCCTATCATTCCCTCTACTGAGTAGTTGAAGCTTAATATTGTAAAAAATGATTTTTTGCTTGTATTTTTATTTTTATAATATATATTTTGTACTAAACATTTTATGTTATAAGTTAAATAAGTTATCATGATATTGATTTATTATTGTTTATCTTTTTTAATATGATGTTACCTTAATATCTATATACTATATTAAAAAAATATTATGTTATATCCACGCCACACCCATGTCCTATATTTAAAAAAAATAATGTGTCCCGTATCCGTGTCGCCATGTTCGTGTCTATGCATCATAGG